CTTCCCCTGGAGTGGGGAGGGAATGGAGATTTTACAGTATCCTTCCCCTGGAGTGGGGTGGGAATGGGGATTTTGCAGTATCCTTCCCCCCTGGAGTGGGGTGGGAATGGGGATTTTGCAGTATCCTTCCCCTGGACTGGGGATAGAATGGAGATTTTACAGTATCCTTCCCCTGCCATGCCCACCAAGCATACCCACCAAGCCATGCCATGCCACGCCCACCAAGCCACACCCACAGAACCGGTAGTAAAAAATTTTGAAACCCACCACTGGGGGCTGCCACAAAGAAGAAGTGGGTCGACCTATTCTCCAAAGCATCAGAAGGCAGGACAGGAAACAATGGATGGAAACTAACCAAGGAGAGAAGCAACCTAGAACTAAGGGGAAATTTCCCGACAGTGAGAACAATGAATCAGTGGAACAGCCTTTGCCTTCAGAAGTTGTGGGGGCTTCATCACTGGAGGTTTTGAAGAAGAAACTGGACAACCGTTTGTCTGGAATGGTATAAGTCAGGCAGTGGTAGGATTCAAGTAATTTAACAACCGGTTCTCTGCCCTAATGATTTCTTCCAACAACCAGTTTGCCAAACTGCTCAGAAAGTTAACAAACGGTTTTCCCGAAGTGGTGCGAACTGGCTGAATCCCACCACTGAAGTCAGGGCAGTGGTGAAATGTAAAATTTGTTACTACCGGTTCTGTGAGCGTGGCTTGGTGTGTGTGTGAGGGGGTAATGTGACTGGGTGGGCATGGCCAACTTTTTTTTTTACTTTTAAAAGCATTTTTTCTACAACTATAAGAGGTTGCAGAAAAAATGCTTTTAAAAGCCTCTGATGATCCCAACTGAGCCGCTCGATCATCAGAGCTTTTTTTTTTTAACTTTTAAAAGCATTTTTTCGGCCGAAGATCCTCTGATGATCGCGCGGCTCAGCTGGGCATGGGTGGGGGGGGGGGCCTGCAGGGATTTTTGCTACCGGTTCTCCGTACCACCCACCGCCATTGCTACCGGATCGGGCGATCCGGTCCGAACCGGGAGCATTTCACCCCCGAGTCAGGGGTGTCAAACTCGATTTCATTGAGGGCCGCATCAGGGTTGTGTTTGATCTTGGGGGGCAGGGGTGGGCGTGGCCAGTTTGATATCACTCATGTTGGCAGTGCCTGTGGTGGCCCGAGCGCTCTGCCAGCGAAAATGGGCTCCTGCCCACAACCATAATTCTATACGCCCTGCCCCCGTGCGTGCGCGTGTAACCCTCCCATGCTCCCCCCATGCTCTCGGCACGCGATGGCATGGGAGGCCCGTTCTTTGCTCTCCCCATCCTCCAGAGCCTTTTTAGGAGTCTGGGGAGGGTGAAAATGGCCTTCCCTACCCCCCTGGAGGCCCTCCTGAAGGCAAAAACTGCCCATTTGCCAACTTCCGGTGGGACCGGAAGGCTTGTTTTTTGCTCTTCCCAGCCTCCAGAGCCTTTCTAGGAGTCTGGGGAGGGTGTAAATGGCCTTCCCCCCCCGGAGGCCCTCTGGAGGCCAGAAACAGCCCATTTGCCAACTTCCAGTCCTAGAAAGACTCTGGAGGCTGGGGAGAGAGAAAAATGGGCCTTCCCCACCACCCCCCGAGGTCCTCCGGAGTCAGGAAACAGCCTTTTTCCCTATTTCTGGTGGGCCCAGAAGGCCTGAAAATCAGCTGGCTGGCACGTGCATGCATGCCGGAGCTGAGTTCACATGCCCACTGATATGGCTACGCATGCCACCTGTGGCACGTGTGCCATACATTCGCCATCCTTGCCCTACACCATTTCTGACAAATGGCAGTCCAAACTCTTCTTGAAAGTCTTCAGTGATGAAGCTCGTATAGTGATGAAGTGATGTGTAGATTAAGATAACTGGAAGGTCCTGTAACCACATCATCTAAATTTGGACACACAATGACCGGCCCACATTTCCAATCGTCACAGCATCCCATAATCACGTGATCAGCATTGGACACCTTCCCTGCCAGCTTCTAACAAATAAAATCAATGGGGAAGCCGGCAGGAAGCCACAAGTCACTTAACGACCCATGCAGTCCTTGCTTAAGGACTGTCACAAAAATGCCACTGTAAATCATCGCAGTCATGTAGAGTCTTCACTTAATTACTAGGTGGCTTAGCAACCAAGTTTCCAGACCTAATTAAGGTTTAACAGATTAACAGAGTTGAAAGGGACCTTGTAGGTCATCTAGTCCAACCCCCCTCCCCCCCGGGCAAGCAGGAGACCCTACACCATTTCTGACAGATGGCAGTCCAGCCTCTTCTTGAAAGTCTCCAGTGATAAAGTGATGTATAGATTAAGATAACTAGACGGTCATCTTCTCTCCTGAGAAAGTGCCATTTTGTTTTCTGTGTAAGGTTGGGTTCACACAACATTCTTTAAACCCAGATTACCTGCCTCATTGTAGCATTTCAGCGCGGGAATGTGAGATCCCACCACTGCAATTACCGTCTTTTTTCTCCTTAACTTCCGTGCATTATTGTAATTTCTTGGTTTGATTATGGTGAACCTCCCAGAATTGTTAAGAGTCGGGCGGCATACAAGTTTAATAATTATTATACTGTATATTATTACTAGTGCATATAGCCAAGGCTATGTTTTTTCCCAGTTGCAATGTATGGCTGTGAAAATTGGACCATAAGGAAGGCTGAGTGCCAAAGAATGGAGGCCTTTGAACTCTGGTGCCGGAGAAGATTCCTGCAAGTCCCTTGGACTGCAAGGCGATCCAACCAGTCAGTCCTAGAGGAGATCAACCCTGACTGCTCTTTAGAAGGCCAGATCCTGAAGAGGAAACTCAAATACTTTGGCCACCTAATAAGAAGGAAGGACTCCCTGGAGAAGAGCCTAATGCTGGGAACGATTGAGGGCAAAAAAAGAAGGGGACGGCAGAGAACGAGGTGGCTAGATGGAGTCACTGAAGCCGTCGGCGTGAGCTTAAATGGACTCCGGAGGATGGTAGAGGACAGGAAGGCCTGGAGGAACGTTGTCCATGGGGTTGCAATGGGTCGGACACGACTTCGCAACTAACAACAATAACAAATTATTACTACCTTTCCCATAACACACTACTGTGTGCTCCCATCAACCTTATGATGACCAAATGTTGAATCTGATTCATGCGGGGGGGCTAAGGCCATTGCCAGTTTGCCACAAGATGCTGAATCATAAGCATCCCAACCTCATGGGCAGGCCATGTTACAAGGATGCCAGACCCCCACATCCCCAAACAGCTCCTCCATGGTGAGCTGTCTCAAGGAAAGCAATTGCATGGGGGACAAAGGAAGCTATACAAATAATAATAATAATAATAATAATAATAATAATAATAATAATAATAATAATAATAATAATAACAACAACAACAACAACAACAACAACAACAACAACAACAACAACAACAACTTTATTGCCATTGTATGTGTATATACAGTATACCCATACAACGAAATTCACTTAACACCCAAAGACCAGGTCCAACACACATATCAATCACCAAACAGACTCCCACCCACAATTCCCCACCCCTAAACCACCCAAACATCCACACAACAGACCAAGTAATGCTGTCCAACAGCTCACTGATGGTGGCCCTTTAGCTCATTGTTGAGTGCAATTATAGCTCTGGGATAAAAACTATTCAGAAGACGTTTGGTCCGAGTTTTAAAGTTTTAAAGACACACTGAAAGCCTCTCTCAAGACCCTGGATATCGACACCGCCTTCTGGGAAACCCTGGCACAAGATTGATCGACATGGCACACGTTGATCCATCAAGATGTTTGATGGATCAACGCTGCCAGATGTTTGAAGACAGAAGGACAACCACAGCACAAGAGAAAGCGAGCACTCCGCAAAGTCAGAGCTGCAAATACTGCAATAGTGGTGCCCACGCATATCTGCCCGACATGTGGCAGAACATTCCATGTCCATACAGGCCTTACCAGCCAGCTGCGGACACATCGTGGATAGCCCACAACCTATTAGATGTCAAGGTCCTCTTCGAACACGATGGACAAACATCATCAATTATTATACTGTTGAATTATTATTACCTTTCCCATAAGATACAGAATTATTGTGTACTCCCATCAACCTTATGATGATGATTAAATGTTGAATCTGATTCATGCAGGGGGCTAAGGGCTATGGCCAGTTTGCCACAAGATGCTGAATCATAAGCGGCCCAACCTCTTTGAACCAAGTCCAGCATATCTTGGGAATCTAGCTGAGTTAAGGTCAAGGTCAAGGTCCCCCTCGTACATATGTGCTAGTCGTTCCCGACTCTAGGGGGCGGTGTTCATCTCCGTTTCAAAGCCGAAGAGCCAGCGCTGTTTGAAGACGTCTCTGTGGTCATATGGCCAGCATGATTCAATGCCAAAGGCGCATGGAATGCTGTTCCCTTCCCACCAAAGGTGGTCCCTATTTTTCTACCTGCATTTTTTACATAGGTTGGCAGAAGCTAGGACAAGTAACGGGAGCTCACCCCGTTATACAGCACTAGGGATTCGAACTGCTGAACTGCCGACTTTTCTATTGACAAGCTCAGTGTCTTAGCCACTGAGCCACCGCATCCCCCTAGCTGAGTTAAGATCCCCCTTTTTATGCCCTGCAACCCAACTTAGCCAATCCAGTTTTTCAGTTATGTTTATTGTCATGTTTTTTCCCTTTCCATTCCTTCAGGCAAGGCTGCTGTCAAAGGCACCGGGAGCATGAGTACCTAAAAAGGGGAGGGGGCACTCCACTGCTCCAGCCTCCAGAGACTGATCATCCCGAGACCCCCCCCTTCTCTCTAAGAGAGAGAGAGAGAGGCACGGAGGCTGCTGTTCAGCCTTCAAGGCATGTGGACCAGAACTGCGGCAGGGGAAGAGTTAACCCTCCAGCCTCACCGCGTGAAGCTGGAGCTATTAATACCCTGCCTGCTTTATCTGTCAGAGAGAGAGAGCTGGCTGCTCGGTCAACCAGACAGCCCTGTGAATCTCGGTCTATTCAGCAGGTCTTGGAAGTTTTGATTCCCAGGGCAAAAAAAAAAAAAAAAAAGACTGTGAGCATGGAACTCAGCCTTGGCTGCCCAGGGTGAATCCTTCCCTTCCTTCCGTGTGCATGCACATCTTTCTCTCTCTCTCTCTCTCTCTCACACACACACACACACACTCATAGAGGTGCTACCTTCTACCAAGGCATCACTTCTCCTCTTCCTGACCAAGAGATCCAGAGTATAGAGCTGGCTGTCTCCACCTGAAAGGTCAGTGTCTTCCCTTCCCAAAGGGAGAAGAAAACTTTCCATAAGGCAAGTTGTACTGGGATGTCCGGAAGACCGCAGGGCAAAGCCTGACTTGGTTATCTGGGCTGAATGGGATTTCCCCCATCATTTCCAGAAGAACCAGAGTCAGTGAAGAGAAACAACTCCAGCAGGTGATCACCCACTTTTTTGGGAAGTCACCAGCAGAGACATCCATGGGAAAAATCTCAGAAGACTTGATTTCTAAGTTTGTCCAAGCTTTCTGGCTGAAGATTGAGAGAACTTCCTTGACTTCTTCTCTGGTTCTGGAATAAGGGTCTCTTTGGAAGCCTATGCCTGCAACCATCAGGCCATTGCAAGATTTAACAAGAGGAGAAGACGTAGAAAAGAAGCAGAGGCTTCTCTGATCTGCTACCAAGAAGACGTCAACGTCAAAGGTTCTCCAAGGAAGAGCACCCTCAAAAAACTGCTCAGCAAGGTCTTGTGAAGGTGGCCCCGATTTTCAAGGAAAAGCCGTTCTTCAATGGAAGCCGGGACCTGTCAAGAAATCTGCTAGATTACCTACAAAGCAACTGGCTCTAAAGTTCCTGATTTCCATCTCCAGCGGAGCGACCCCACAACAGGGGGGACCTTTTGCACCCTGGAAGGGGCAGCGGGAAATTGGAGAAGCGAAGGTGCGAAATGTTCGCCCGTGGAAGCTGGGCCAGAACAGCTGAGCGTGGAAGGCGGTTCCCGTTCCTTGCAAAATGCTGATGTCTGTCAGGTGTGGCCCGGCCAGGATCGCCCCTTGCCTTGCTTCCTCGGAGAGATGGATTCCTTCTGCTTCACCTGCTTTCAGAAGGAGGAGCTCCAGCCTTTGCAATCCAACAGGTAGGGTCCCATTATTTCTCGGCGCACCCATGCAAAGCGCGGTAGGCAAATCTGCAGGAGTCGAGGTGTTCTGATGTTCGGGTGCAAGTTCAGAAATAAGGAATCCTAAACTTCGATCGATAGGGTCACGGTGGCTCAGTGGCTAAGACACTGAGTTTGTCAATCGAAAGGTCAGCAGTTCAGTGGTTCGAATCCCAAGTGCCGCGTAACGGAGTGAGCTCCCGTTACTTGTCCCAGCTTCTGCCACCCTAGCAGTTCGAAAGCATGTAAAAAATGCAAGTAGAAAAATAGGGACCACCTTTGGTGGGAAGGTAACAACATTCCGTGCACCTTTGCCGTTGAGTCATGCCGGCCATATGACCACGGAGACGTGTTCGTCCAGAGCTGGCTCTTCAGCTTTGAAATGGAGATGAGCACCGCCCCCTAGAGTCAGGAACAACTAGCACATATGTGCGAGGGGAATCTTTACCTTTAAACCTCGATCCCAGACTCCACTGTGCAGGGAGGGTGGTTATTATAACAATGATTTGAGGGATAACACATTCAGGTTGTCTGTACATGCTCAGGGACACTGTTGCCCTTGTTTCTCCCATCCTAGAAATGCAGTCTGATGTTTTAAGTGGGCTCTGTGGCCCATTTCACCGGGGCAGGAGATTAAAAGCCTCACTGGAAGTTTTTAAGAAGATGCTGGATAACCATTTGTCTGAAGTGGTGTAGGGTTTCCTGCCTAAGGAGGGGGTTGGACTAGAAGACCTCCAAGGTCCCTTCCAACTCTGTTATTCTATTCTATTAGACCAGATCAGACGATTATTCCACCATATATAAGAAGAGGGAGTCCAGCTATTTTCCAAAGCACTAGGAAGGCAGGACAAGAAACAATGGGTGGAAACTAATCAAGGAGAGAACTTAGAACTAAGGAGGAATTTCCTGACAGTTAGAACAATGAATCAGTGGAACAACTTGCCTCCAGAAGTTGTGGATGCTTCAACACTGGAAGTTTTTAAGAAGAGGTTGGACAACCATTTGACTGAAGTGGGGTAGGGTTTCCTGCCTAAGCAGGGGGTTGGACTAGAAGACCTCCAAGGTCTCTTCCAACTCTGTTATTCTAATTCTAATACTCAGAACTGCCTACTCTGAAGGATAGGCTGGGAACCCATCGCACATGGCACATCAAGCCCAACCGTCTATCTTTTTAGCTTAGCAATTTGGGTCGGTTTAAGTTGCAGGCTGTGAATGCAAAACACGAAGTTAGCTGGATAAACTCTGGTTCAGAAGCCTGTTGAAACTTCTCAGAGGAGTAGAGTTGCCATGGTTCTCTCCTCTCTGCAGAGAACGAGGCTTTATGCCCAGCCAATTTTAAATCAGCGAGTAGAGATGACATCACTCCTTACATCCTTTTCCTTAGGAGTTTGTGACTCTTCTCAATCACCAGCAGAGTCGAGGCAACCAGGTTGCCCCGTTCCTCCGCCTCTCCAACTCATATCATATCATAATATCACAAGTTTATTTGTCAAGCATATATAAGATAACAGGTAAAAGTATAAACATAATTTGAATACATGAAAAGAGTAAGTAAAAAAGGAATATTAGGACAGGGATGGTAGGCACGCTGGTGCCCTTATGCACGCCCCCTTACAGACCTCTTAGGAATGGGGTGAGATCAACAGTAGACAGTTTAAGGTTAAAGGTTTGGGGGTTTGTGGAAGAAACCACAGAATCAGGTAATGCATTCCAGGCATTGACCACTCTGTTACTGAAGTCATATTTTCTGCAATTGAGTTTGGAGAGGTTTACCTTGAGTTTGTGTCTATTATTTGCTCGTGTATTGTTGTGGGTGAAGCTGAAGTAGTCACTGACAGGAAGGACATTGTGGCAGATAATTTTATGTACTGTGCTTAAGTCAGACTGAAGTTGGCGTAGTTCTAAGTTAACTAAGCCCCAAATCTGGAGTCTGGTGGCATAAGGGATTTTATTGCGGTTAGAGGAATGGAGGACTCTTCTCGTAAAATATCTCTGGACTCTCTCGATTATATTTATGTCCGATATGCAGTGCGGGTTCCAGACAGATGAGCTGTATTCAAGAATTGGTCTAGCAAATGTTTTGTATGCTCTAGTTAGTAGTACAACATTACCAGAAAAGAAACTCATTCATCTCCTCTTTTTTTCCATCACTTGGACATGATGTTGCTTACCTAATTATGTATTTATTGGTATCCCCCCCCCTTTATTATTTTTACAAATAACTCGAGGCGGCAAACATATCCAGCATGCTTCCTCCTCCCATTTTCCCCCAAAGAGAGAATAATTTTTATGCTGTCTCTCGACTAGTTCCAAGATCTGTCTGCTTTATACTAAGACCGTGATGGCAAACCTATGGCACGTGTGCCAGACGTGGCACGCAGCACCCTCTCTGATAGCACGCGAGCCGTCACCCCAGCTCAGCTCCACAGCGCATGCACGCCTGCCTCCCGCCGGCCAGCTGATTTTTGGGTCTATTCTACCCCTATTCTAGTCCAACCCCCTGCTCAAAGCAGGAAATGTAATACCATTTCAGACAGATGATTTGAAATCATAAAGAGGTCAGCTTTGCATATTGTATGAATCAGGGGTGGGATTCAGCCGGTTCGGACCCGTTTGGGCGAACCGGATGCTAATTTTACATCTGGTTTGCCGAACCGGTAGTTGCAAAGACTGGCTGGCCCCTCCTACCCCTCCCCTCCTCTCCCAGGAGTCTCCATGCATCCAGTTTTGGATGCCATGTAAGTGCACTGGCCTCCCAGAAGTTCTGGAAGTCTGGAAACTGGCCCATTTCCGGCTCAAGGAAAGCCTCTGGAGCTTGGGGAGGGTGAAAAACAGACCTACCGGAAGTCTGGAAACTGGGCCATTTCCGGCCTCCGGAGGGCCTCCGGAGCCTGGTGGAGGCCGTTTTCGCCCTCCCAAAGGCTCGAGGAAAGCCTCCGGAGCTTGGGGAGGACAAAAAACGGCCTTACTGGAAGTCTGGAAATGGGCCCATTTCTGGCCTCCGGAGGGCCTCCAGAGACTGGGCGAGGCCATTTTCGCCCTCTGGGAGGCTCAAATAAAAGCCTTTGGAGCCTGGGGAGGGTGAAAACGTCCCCTCTCCCTGCCATGCAGGAGGCTGAGTAGGCCAAGCCCACCATGGCCACCTAGCACGTGTGAATCCAACCTAAGAAAGATACTTCCTTAGTTTTCCTTTAGCACGGGACTCTACAATCAGGCCGGCAGCAAAGCAGGTGTCCCATTGCTGACCCAGCTTTCAAATTATGAATGACCGGATGGCCGTGTGAGAGCTGAGCCTGCTTGATAACAGCTTGGCCTCTCAGCCAGAAGGTGTTAAAAATGCTGAGAAACTTCAACAAAACGTGATCAACACGGGTGGATTATTTGGTGTTAAATTGTCCTCCAGAAGCCAACTTATTTATTTATTAGATTATTAGATCCTGTCTTTCTTTTTCTTTTTCTTTTTTTTGCACTGCCCACACCTCTGCTTAAAATAGCGGTGCGAACCAAGCTTAGAATTCATTTCGGATAGGTGTCGATTTTTCAGAAATGCACCTCGCCCGTACTTGAGCACAGGTGGATGATTTTCAAACCACGAGGATTCTTGTAATGCTAAATGGTGCTCCAGTTTCTATAACAGGAATGTCAAACTCAAGGCCTGTGGGCCAGATCCGGCTCATGGGGTTACTTAGATCTGGCTCGCGGGTGTTGTGGCTCCGTCCTCCGAGCCTATCTTATCGGAGGAAGAAGGCTCCAAACATGAAGGAGAGGAGTCGGCCAGGCCTCCCTCTCCAGGCCCCTCCTCTCTGGCAATGCCTCAGGTGCCGGCCGAGGAAGAGGAGATTAGCCAGGAGCCAGGTGTCTCCGATGATAGCGATGGAGGCGATCTGTCGTTCCTGGATCCACGCCAACGAAGGTGTGATAAACGGTTGCAGCAGTTAAGGAGGCGTGCCAGGGATTATAACTGAGTCACTGGACCACACCCCAGAGACTATATAAGAGAGTTTGGTGGCTATTTAAGACTCTGTGACGGACAAAAACTAACTCTGGCTAGTCACTTTGAACAACGCCTAAATCTGCCGAAGGTTCCTTGTTTTGAACTGGACTATTTGCAAACGGTGTGTATTGCTGTTTATCTGGTGAAGGGATATTAAGTAAAAGCACTTGGCAGTCGGTGCTCGTATTGCTGCCAAGTTTCTGATAACAAACTGTGTGTGCCAAGTGCTTCCTTTAACCCTCGGCTGTGTGTGTGTGTGTGTGTGTGTGTGTGTGTGTGTGTGTGTAGGGAGACGGGGACAGTACAGCGGGGCTGTTCTGGAAACAGTGAAGGACTGGCCCGTGGTGCCTCTGCCAGGACAAAATGGCGCTCGGGCGGACCACCTGCGGCCTTCCCGAGCTCTATATTTGTTGGCAGAGGGTTGCAGAAAGCCGTCCCAGCCGAAAACGGAGCTCAGGAGCCCGTTTTTGGCTGGCAGAGCACTCGGACCACAGATGCCCCTGACACAAGTGACGTCAAACTGGCCATGCCCACCCCGGCCTCGCCCGAGGGCAAACACAACCCTGGTGCGGCCCTCAATGAAATCGAGTTTGACACCCCTGTTCTGTAAGGAGTTGCTACTTCAAGCGCAAATGATATTTCGAATCTCCCAAATGCTGCTGTTCATGAGGCCAACCCGCCATCCTGAAGGTGCTTTTCCAAGAGGCGACTGGACTTCCTTGGTTTTTCCCCCCCCCCCTTGGAAACGTTTTGCTTCTCATCCAAGAAGCTTCTTCAGTTCTGAACTGAAGATCTGAAGAAAGCTGCTTGGATGAAAAGCAAAATGTTGCTTTCAGACAATCATTTATTTATTTATTTTTATTTATTTATTTTATTTATCAAATTTCTATACCGCCCTACTCCCGAAGGACTCAGGGCGGTGAACAGCCAAGATAAAACACAGATAATACAAACATTAAAAATCCATTAAAATTATTAAATTTTT